CATAAAACCTAATTCTCTATAATGGGAAGGTCCAGAAGACAAGCCTTTCACTAATCTTATTAGACACAAAGTGTTGGGGGGGGGCACCAGCATATTTGGAGAGCTTTGTTGTTGCCCCTTTCCTTGAGCCAGACACTAGGGTTAGAGATGTTGCTGCTCAATTGGATGAATTAAATGCAATGGGCTTAACTGGGCCCTGAGGTAGCAGGGGCCATGTAGCAGTCAAAGGCAAGGTGATCATAGTTATCATAATGGGCAGCATAGACAAAGCAATGTCCACAACGCCTAACCTTTACATAGTGATCAGCCCAGGCAAAGTGGTTTTTATAGTTGCATGACGTCTATGGACCATTGGTACTGGTCAACCAAACATGATGTTTATAGACATAAAATAGACAAGAAGCCTGCTGCATTTTGTTAGATTTGTATAAGTGGAGAAATTCTTAAACAAATGAAAGAAAGGCTACATTGGATTGTGGCAAAAGGAAATCTTGGCTCATCAAACAACTTACAGACTTGAACCAGTCTGCAGACCCAGAAACTCTTAGATGAAGGGGCAACCATATATCCCTGAGGAAGGACCTTGATCTAATACCTAAAAGTTTTACTCTTAGCCTTTCCTCAGTCCTTCCCCAGAGGAATTCACAGCCTTTTGCATGGGTAACTGTACACTTGGGGAAAGGAAACAATCAGCTTTCTGGAGTCTGTTAGATATTGATTTTGAATTGACGCTGATTCCAGGAGACCCTAAGAAACATTGTGGACTTCAGTTAAAGTAGTGGCTTATGGAGATCAGCTGATTAATGGGTTTTTGGCTGATGTCTGACTCACAGTAAACATCCAGTGGGTCCTTGAACTCATCTTGTGGTTTTTTCCTCAGTCCTGGATTTTATAATTGGTATAGATATACTTTGAAGTTGACAGAATTTTTTCTCACATTGGTTTCCTGACTTGTGGAGTGAAGGCTATTATGGCTGGAAAGGCTAAGTAGAAGCCTTTAGAGTTGCTTTTGCCAGGGAAAAGCAGCAAATCAAAAACAGTATCACATCCCTGGAATAATTGTAGAAATTAGTACCATCATCAAGGTCTTGAAAGACACATCTCCCATTAACTCTCTTATCTGACCAGAGCTGAAGACAAAAGGATCATGGAGAGTGACAGTTAACTATCAAAAACTCAATCCAGTATTAGCTCAAACTGCAGCTGCTGTACCAGACGTGGTGTCCTTCCTTACTTGAGCAGATTAACACATCTCCTGGTATATGGTATGCAGCAATTGATCTAGCAAATGTCTTTTTCACAATACCTGTCCATAAAGATCACTAGAAGCAGTTTGCTTTCAGTTGGCAAGGCCTGCGGTATATATTTAGTTTTACTTCAAAAATATTGTCTCCAGCTCTGTGTCATAACTTAGTTAAAGGATCTCGATCATCTTTCTTCCACAAAATATCACATGGGTGCACTATATTGATAACGTCATGCTGATTGGACCAGCTAAGCAGGAGACAACTATCACTTTGGATTTGTTGGTAACGTATATATGCATCAAAGGATGGGAAATAAATCCAATCAAACTTCAAAGGCTGTCTATCTCAGTAAAATTCTTAGAAGTCCATTGGTGTGGGGCATGCAGAGGTATTCCTTCTAAGGTAGAGGATAAGTTATTGTACCTGGTCCCTCCCAACCATGAAAGAAGTACAACATTTAGTAGGTCTATTTGGATTCTAGAGACAACACATTCCTCACTTGGGTACGCTACTCAGGCCCATTTACCAAGTGACTCAGAAAGCTGCTAGCTTTGTTGGGGCCTGGAGCAGAAGGCTGTTAGGTCCAGGATGCTGTGCAGGCTGCTCCATCACTTGGACCATGACCCAGCAGATTCAGTGACACTTGAAGTGACAATGGCAATAGATATGCTGTGTGGAGCCTTTGGCAGGTACCTATAGGTGAACCACAAAAGAGACCTGTGGGATTTTGGAGCAAGGCTGTACTGCTACCATTTGCAGACAATTATTTTCTCTTTGCGAGATAGCTCTTGGTCAGCTATTGGGTCTTAGTGGAAACTGAATGTTTGACAATGGGCTACCAAGTTTCCATGTGACCAGAACTGTCCATCATGATCTGGGTGTTATCAGACCCTCCAAGTAGGGTGTGCACAACAGCAATCTATTATCTACCGGGGAAATGGTATATACGTGATTGGGCTGAAGCAGGCCCTGAAGGCACAAGCAAATCAAATGAAGTTGCTCAGGTATCTGTTTTCTACTCCTGGTACAATGCTGTCCACTGCCAAGCATGCACCTATACGCTCATGGGATGTTCTCTATGATGGGCTTACTGAGGAAGAGAATACTAGGACCTGGTTTACTGATGGTTCTCCATGTAGGGCACCATCTCGAAGTAGACATCTGGGCATTACAACCCCTTTCTGGGACAACCCTGGGAAAGAGAGGGAAATCTTCACAGTGGGCAGAACTTTGGGCAGTACATTTTGTTTGGAGAAGGAATGGCGATATGTGTAATTATTCACTGATTCATGGGCTAGTTCTTCCTCCCTTAGAAGCCATTAGTTGCCTGAAGCATGAAGAGCGAAAGCTTTGAATGTTGGTCTTATTTATTTCCCCTCCCTGGCTACCATTGCTTAGATTTTTGGCATCCTATCTAAGAAGTAAAAATTTCAGAGCTGCAAAGACTTGATCTAGTATCTCCTTCTGAGAGTTTTTACTCTTCTGCTTAAGACTGATACATTTTAAGTTAGGTTGTTGCTGATGTGAGGTAGGCGTCTCTCCTCAGTAGACCATAAATGTGAAAGTTTATTCATGCACACTCAGTTCCATTCCTGGTAATGATCCTTAGTCCTGGGAATGGTCTACTGTAGGAGATTGGTTCTAATGCTTTGATTCAATCAGGAATCTTTATGTCCAAATGCTAAAGGTCCTTATCCCCAAGTTGGTTTTTGATCTATCAATAAAGATGCCAGGGGACAATGGTTGGGCAAAGAGAGATGAGGTGGGACCTTTAGAGTTGTGCTGGCTAGGACATAGTGGGGAAGAGACAGATCAGAATTAGAGCTGTAGGAAGAGAGCCAACGAACCATGTGAGAATTCAGGTAAGTGGCCACTGGCGGCTTCCCCGGTTGGGCCTGGGGTAACAGGGGAAGGTTTAGAAGTGCCCAGCCTTTGAGGTAGCCAAGGCATTTTAAAATTAACTGCAGTGTGTGTGTATCTTCCACTCGTGAATCCAAAGAGTTCCTTGGCAGATGGCAGGAGCATAAACCCAAGAAGCTAAAAACTCCCACTATAGTCTACTATTGTCTAGAATAAATATTAGCTGCTGCTGGAAAACCTGATGACAACTGGATTCCTTTCCCTTAGCAATAGTTTGGCCTTCTAGCCCCACCCCTCTTTCTCTCGTCACTAGTTTTTACTAAACATGTGTTAGTGTTACCAGTTATGGGTGTATTTTCTTAGTTAAGCTAACTCAGTGTGTGAGTTATAAGGGTTTCATTAATCTTTTCATGAGCTAAAGGTCTCAGTGTTTGCTTTTGGTTTCTATTTTTGGTTTGCATTTTCTATAATCCTGTTATAGAAAAGGCTAGTTTCTCTCTGCCTTCCACTTGTAGATTTTACTTTCTCACTAGCTCTTTTTCTATTTTCATAACAGTCTTTAAATGTACAAAAATTTGTTGATATTCTTTTTCCAACAGGTAGACTCCCCTCACCATGGTGGTATATTGGACTCATGGATTCATTTTTTAAAAAGTATTTACTTAAAAAAATGTTTGTAATATGTGCATGTGTGTTTGTGTGCAAGTCTCTGCAGATGCCAGAAGCCTTGTAGAGCTGGAATTACAGGTGATTGTGAGCTGTCAATGTGAGTTGGCCCTGTGTCTATAGTGACATACTACAGACATATTATAGACACAGGGTTCTTTGCACCCCTCAAATTCATACATATTGAAGTTCTACCTCCAATGCTACTATTGTATTAGAGGTATAGTATTTTGAGGTAATCAATTGAGGTCTTGAGACAATAAAGATATGATCTTAATCTCATAGGACTTATAGAAATAGGGGAGAGGCAGAGGTTTCTGTATGGATGTAAGAACATGGTAGGAAGCCAACCAGCTGCACAGTAAAGTAAGAGACGCAGGTACCAACAGGGCAATACCTTGACTAGCTCTGTATCTTCCTCATCTATGAAAATTGTCGCTTTTTTGTTTATTTTCTTAATACAAGAATTCTGATTAAAACATACAAATCTAAAAGATTCAAAGCTAGGACCCACATGTAAGAGAGAATGTGGTATTTGTTTTATGGGTCTGTATTATCTCATTCAGAATGGTTATTTCCAACTCCATTCATTTGCCTGCATTTTTCCTCACAGTTAAATAACCCCATTGTATAAAATGAAACATCAGGAAAACAAGCGACCATTTAAAAAGTGAGATAAGAAGTTCAATAGCAAGATCTCAAAAGAATGATTACAAATGACTAAGTGATAGTTCTTAAAATGTTCAGCATCATTAGCTATTGGAAAAAAATGCAGATTAAAACTACTTTGAGATTTCATTTTACCCGAGTCAGAAAACAAATGACACAAATGCTGGCGTGGATGCGTGGGTGTGTGGGTGCATGGGTGGATGTGTGGGTGGGTGGATGTGTGGATGTGTGGGTGCGTGGTACATGGATGCATGGAAAAGGGAAATACCATTTGCTGTTGGTGTGAATGCAAATGAGTACAGCCAGTGTGGGAATCATTGTGGAGAGTCCTCACGAAGCTAGAAATGGAACTACCGTGTGACCCAGCTTTACCACTCCTCAGCATATAGCCAAGAGAGTCCATTCCTATCATAGAAATGCTTCCTCATCCGTGCTCACCGCTGTACTATTCATGATAGCCAGAAACAGCTAACATGTCTGTTAACTCATGCATGGATAAAGAAAACATAACATCATGTGTGTAGTGACCATTTTTGGTGTATGGCTCAGTGGTCCCGGATGGACCCATCCCGCTGTGCCACAGATGGCCAGAACTGTCTTGCCTCACACTGCAGCCTGAGCTTCCACATCCACTTCCGTTTCTTCACCACAATCGCTACTTGGCTCCTGGTAAGCAGCCCTTCCTGTTTGCATGAATCTGATGAGGTAAGCTGTCTCATAACGCATCTGCTTTACTGTAACGGGCTCACGTCGTGGCAGAATGTTCTCAAGGTTCTCTCATCCTGTGCTTACATGCGGCAAGGCTTCCTTTCTTCTTGACAGACTATGTCTTGCTGGGGTGGGGATGGGGGTTGGAGGGGAAGATCCATCTCTCTTTGATAAGCAACAATGAAAACACAATTCTCATTGAAATACTGGATCAAAAACAAGCCCTTAGAAGCGCTCATCAAAAAAAAAAATTCTAAAATATGTTCAGTCCAAATGTAATGACAGCAAAGAGAATTACTTCTCACCTATCCCAAAGGAATAAAGGACAGCTTATACAAGAGAAATAGATTAAATATTAATTCTTCTTCAGATATCATGGAAAATAACCTTAACTACTAACAACATCTTAAACACTGAAAGTTGGTGCTGAGTCAGTATCACGAAGCTGTAAGGGAGAGCACAGCCTAATTTAGGTTTTGCAGACACATGTTTGAAGAAAAATAAATAAAACGTTTTCTCTGTGTGAGTGTAGTAACTTCCTGCTCAAAAGACTGTGTGCTAAGAAGCAGGCAGATGTTTGTTCCTAGCTCTTCACGTACCTCCTTCCTCTATTCCCAGCTATTGACTAGCTTAACTCTTTTTTCCTTTGGTTTCCTCTTCAGCTCCTTGGCCTTCCCTAGCTCTCTGCTCTCAGGTGTGCTTGCACTGAGCAGACTGCCTGGCAAGGCCCTTTAACTGGGTGGGGCTGATCAATTGCCTGTGCCGGGGACGGGGACATCATCTGACAGGGCTCGTTAATGGGTGGGGTACACTCAAGTACACCACCTGACAATTTCTCCTGAAGACCTGGGGAGTTGGTGTCAGTGTACTTAGGAAGTGGAAAAAATCCTGAAACCATTTTCTGAGCCAGCTCTCTAGAAAATGGCCCTGCATAGAGCTTCCAAAGGTGAAACTCGGTAGAGACAAGCCTGGAGGTAAGCCTTGGGTTGGGACTGGAAAACCACCAAAGGAAGATTGTAGTCAGGGAGATGGTATTGAGGGTGCAGGCTGTGGATGGATTTAGGAATCAGTCTCTGTAAAAGTTCTTCCTGACTCTTTCTTACCCAACTCAGGAGACTCTGGTGAACTCTGGGGTTGTAGGGCTGTGGTCAGGGGCAACTGCCCGGTTCCATTGATGTTTCTGGGTATATCAGGGCAAAGGGATGCTCTAACCTAAAAAGTAAAAAGCAGGCTAAGCCAGGTGTGGTGATGCACACCTTTAATTCGAGCACTCAGGAGACAGGCAGGGGGCACCTTTAATGCCAGCACTCAGGAGACAGGCAGGGGGAGCTTTCTTTTTTTTTTTTTTTCTTTTTTTTTTTATTGGATGATTTATTTACATTTCCTATGTTGTCCCCTTACCCCATCCCCCACCACCCCCTCGGAACCCCCAATCCCCTCGCCCCTCCCAGGGGGAGCTTTCTGAGTTTGAGGCCAGCCAGGGCTACACAGTGAGATTCTTCCAAGAAAAAGAAAAAAAGAAAAGAAAAAGAAAAAAATAAAAGAAAGAGGGAGGGACTGAGGAAGGGAGACAGACCAGGATGGTGCCCTACCTTCCTTCCTCCAGATAGGCTCTGTAAGAGTAGTTTAAGAGCAACAGTTGCCCGGCAGTGGTGGTGCACGCCTTTAATCCCAGCACTTGGGAGGCAGAGGCAGGCGGATTTCTGAGTTTGAGGCCAGCCTAATCTACAGCGTGAGTTCCAGGACAGCCAGGGCTACACAGAGAAACCCTGTCTCGAAAAACAAAAACAAACAAACAAAAAAAGCGGCAGTGTTTCTCAACCTTTGGGTCAAGACCCCTTTGGGTGATCAAATGACCTTTTCTAGGGTGTCACCTCAGACCATTGGCAAACCTAATGTTTACATTACCGTTCATAACAGTAGCAACATTCAGTTGTGTAGTGGCAATAAAAATAATGTTACGGTTGTGGGTCACCACAACGCGAGGAATTGTGTTAAAGGTCACAGCATTACTAAGGCTGAGAAACCGTTGGTTTAGAGCATTCCCTATGTAAATTGCTTCTTGGGCCACTCTACGTCATAATATCACAGAGAAGCTAGTTTACAAGAAGAGAAACACAGTGTGCTTTCAAAGGACTCCTGATTAGCAGTGGTGGGATGGGGTGCACACCTTTAATCCCAGCACTGGGAGGCAGCAACATAAAGTAAGATATCTACAGCCACACAGTTATTCTTCTATGTTTTTTTTTATAACTGTGACACAGACATCTGAACACATTTTTGAAGAAACAAACAAATACAAGCTTACTTAATATATTTTGGAATGCCATTTTATTCTTTTTGGGTTCATGTCTCAACTTCATAACCACCCAGTATGGTTCTCTCTCCTTTCCTCAGCTTCCTGATCTGTGTGGTTAACTCCCAGCCACTAGTGCTCACTGTGCAAAACCTGTCTCTAAGGAAGGCTTAATTCTCCTGGGGTTCCTTTCCTCCCGTGTCTCCTCTACCTGGTAGCCTGGTCCCATGTCATCTCTGAGGCGAAGGATTCAATGTCACGGAAGAGAAGAACTGTGTCTCACTCATCACCGAACCTCTTTAGACTCCAACAGTAATTGTCTAATGGTTCTTTTCTTTTATGTTTAAGAAATGAATCAATTACTACCGGCATGTTTTTAAAGACGGGGTGTCTTGGGGACAAGAACAGAGAAAGCCTGAAAATGACAAAGGGGACACAGAGAGGAGGCCAGGTCAGCTCTGGGGACAGCTCTGTAAATGGCCAGCCCTATTCAGATATATGGGGAAATCCTTTTGCACCAATAACTTTTACAAGGGAACTGTAATCAGATTGGACATTTAAAATGTATTGACACACTTGACTCCCGAGCCAAAGTGTTTAATGATCTATGTGCCATGCAGTAAAGTGGGGCAGACTGGCACACTCAAGTCTGCTTTGGGTTTGTATCTGATACCCATCTACTGGCTCCCGGATGCTGGGTCATATACGATTCCCATTTTATATTAATTATTAACAACAATGAAAACAGAAAGGTTGAGAGTAGGAAAATATGCCTTACAGGCTTGATGGTCTGTTCCTTCTCAGGAATCCTTGAAAACAAGAAAGCACCAGGAAGCTGTCCTGTTGATGGAGGCAAGCTCACCAGTTGGAGAAGCTAAACCCCACATTGCATGAGGAGCCAGGACAGACATGTTGAGAGTAGCGGGAGCTAAGGCTAGGTGAGAGAAGGAACTAGGAAACTAGTCAGAGAGGCATCTCACACAGCTGTGATGCTCCACAAATCTGTCCTTTGTTTGGAGGGGTCTCTATCCCCCATTGAAATGCTCCCATGATTCCTTGGGTTTCCTTTCCCATTCCTTCTCTCATTGCCTTTTAGTCATTTAAAATATAAGCTCCTAGAACGGAGATTCTAATAGTGAGCATAAACGTTGCTCTACCCCTCTCCAAAGCTGTGTTGTATGCAACTTCCAAAACACTGTCAGAGCTCACTGAACATGGGGCCGCGCCCAGGGAGTCGCATGGTCTCATTACCAGCACAGCTGGGCCTACAGATAAGCAACCATGTCTGAGGGACCTGTAGTTGTCATTGATCATGACACCACCTAGTCCCATGTAGGTGTCTTCCAGCCTAGCAGGATGGGAATAATTGCCAATAACCGGGGTAATTGATTTACACTAAGTACAATTCCTTTTACTGACACAGACTGAGGATGCTGTGAAAAATAAGGTTTCAGTGAACCCCCACCAATCCAGTTCTTGATGCCGAATGTCTAATCGGATGCAGATTTGATGATGCTGAGGTTGGTGATGCCACTGCTCAGTCTGATATGAAGCAATGGCTCTTCATGGCGGTGAATGACATAGTCAGGCCCAAGGTCCAAGTAGAATACAAAGGGGAGACAAAATGTTTCTACACTGAGGAGGCATTCTTCATGGTTCTGACAAAGACCACAAAGATAAAGGAAACTGCAGAAACCTACCTTGGGAAGCCTGTTACCAATACTATGGTCACTGTGCCAGCTTACTTCCATGACTCTCAGTGAGAGATGACAAAAGATGCCAGAACTATCATTGGCCTCAATGTACTACGAGTGATCCAACTGCTGCTGCTATTGCTTATGGCTTAGATAGGAAGGTTGGGGCTGAAAGGAATGTGCTGATGCTTTATTTGGAGGTGATCCTCACTATTAAGGATGGAACTTTTGAAGTCAAATCTACAGACAGAAATACATACATGAGTAGAGAAAACTTGGACAATCAAAAGGTCGACCGTTTTATTGCTGAGTTTAAACAGAAGCACAAGAAGCACATTAGCGAGATCAGAGAACAGCCCGTCTCTGCACACTGCTCATGCATGGGCTCAGAATATCCTCTCCTCTAACACCCAGGCCAGGATTGACATGGATTCTCTGGAAACTGATTTCTATACCTCCATTACTCATGCTGGATTTGAAGATTAGAATGCTGGCCTGTTGCACGGTACCGAGGACCCTGTAGAAAAGCCTCAAAGATGCCAAACTAGACAAGTCACACATCCACGATACTGCCCTGGTGGGTGTTCTGCAAGACTGCTTCAGTGGGACAGAACCGAATGCAAGTATTAACTTGATGAAACTGTTGCTTACAGTGCAGCTGTCCAGGATGCCATTGCATTTGGAGATGTGTCTGATTCATCTCCAATGTTCAGGATCCTGAATGGTCAGGATGTGCTGCTCTTGGATGTCAGGCCCCTTCCCCTTGGTACTGACTACTCCCTATCAAGCGCCCTCCTGCCATTCTTACCGAGCAGACACAGACCTTCACCACAGACTGACAACCAGCCAGGTGTGCTCATGACTGTGAAAGAGCCATGATCAAGGACAACAACCTGCTTGGAAAATCTGAAGTCATAGGCACAGGTTGTGCACCCTGTGGTGTTCCTCAGAAGAAAGTCATTGTTGACGTTGATGCCAATGGCATCCTCCATGTCTCAGCTGTGGATAAAGGTACACAAAAGGAGGACAAGGTCACCATCACCAATGGGGCTGCTTGGACAGCAGGAATGTTGAGTGTATGGTCCATGAAGCCGAGGAGGACAAAGATCAGCACAGAAAGCAGAGAGATAAGGAATCCCCCCGGAATTCACTGGAGTCTTACACACTCCTCATGAAAGCAACAATCGAGGGTGAGAAATCTCAAGGCAAGAGCAATGACATCAAGCAGAAGATTCTTGACAAGTGTGATGAAATCATCAGTGGATAAGAATCTGCCTGAAGATAAGGAAGAAACTGGACACCAGCAGAAAGACCTGCAGAAAGTCTGCAACCCCAGCATCCCCAAGCTGCACCAGAGTGCTACTGGCATGCCAGGAGGAGTGCCTGGGGGCTTCCCTGGTAAGGAGCTGCTGCTTCTGCTCCTGCCTCTTCAGGCATACCTGGCTGTTGCCAGGTAACTGTGGGGACTAGCATAGTTTCACAGGCAAAGACCCAGAATTAACAGGTTCTGGGACAGCTTTAAAGTTAGGCTGCTACAGTAGATTACTGGACATTCTCAACATTTGACCATGGAGAGTGAACACACGGAGAGCAAAGAGCGTCGCACTTTACAGATATGGCATCGTAAGAGGAAAAGGCAACGTCTGAAATAAGACCATTAAAATTGGCACTATAAAACACTATCAGATTACATATCTTGATTATTTATGTTTTATTATATTTGATTATTTGATTGTGTGTGCATGTGTATGTACGCATGTGTGAGTATGAGTGGGTGTGGGTATCTGCACTTGAACTCATGTGATAAATGGGCTGTCACAGGACAACTGTCAGGTTCCCACCTTCTACTGTGTGGATCCTGAAGACCAAACTCAGATGTCAGATTTGGCAATAATTGTCTTAACCTGGTGAGCTTTTATTGGCCCTATTTGTTTGTTTGGAGGTTTCGTTTAGGTTTTTTATGTTTAATACATTTATTTGTGTGAGAGAGGGAGGGGCTTAGTGTTTGTCATGCACATTTGTGGAGGTCAGAGGACAACTTGGGAGTCAGCTCTCTCCCTCCACCATGAAGGCCTTGGGACTGAATTCAGCTTGTCAGGCTTGGCAGCAAGCACCGTTACCTACTGAGCCATCTCACCAGCCCATTAGACATTTTTTATTTTAAAGATTTGGTCTTACATAGTCCAGGCTGGCCTTCAACTTGTAATGTAGCTGAGGATGGATCTTGAACTCCTGATCTTCCTTTCTCTGCCTCCCCAGTGGAGATTACAGGTATGTTACAGGTATATGTTACAGGTATGTTACAGGTATGTTATAGATACACACTGCCACACTCAGCTTTTGTTTTCTTTGTGTGGGGAAGGGAAGAGAGATAATAAATATGCTTAAATCATTTTACATGTACATACAAACATATAAAAATAGAATCGTATAGAGTTCCTGTGGCCACATACCATTAGCAATTATCAGGTTAAATTATAGTGTTCTGTTGCTGTTTGTGAATGGCCCTTATTCATAGGATTGTTGGCATCAAATGCCACACACAATTGTTTTACCAGCATATAAGTTAAGTACATTTTAAATGTTTTTCTCAAGAGAGAGAAAGTTAATGTGCTGCTTTGAAAAGGAGACTGTCAGAAGTTTGTTCGTGTTAGTTCCCAAGCGTGTTCTGGGCTCCTGGAAAGCCTGTAGGGAGTACCAGCAACAGTGACAGGAGGTCATCGTTGTGACACTGGCCATCGAGCCAGACCCAGTGGAGGTTCAACACTGCTGCTTCTTCACAGAGCTCCTGGTCCCACCTGACTCTCACACCTGACTCCTGAGCATCACTGCCCTCCTGAATCCCCTTGTCACTTGCTGGGCCAGCTACCTGACTTGCTCACTCCTCCTGTGTTTGCTTTCTTGCCAGCCTTCCCTCACTCTATTTACACAGGATGCTTGCATCACCTGTCTGCTTAAAATCCTTCCTTAAGTTTCTCTTGCCTTGGAGAGAAAGTCTGTACTCCCAGACATAGACTTCCCAAAGACCACATAGCTAACTCTTCAGGATTTCTGCCCTTCCCTGACTCTCAACTTCCTACCTTCCTCCTATACTCCCAACTGCTTAATTTACTTGAAATTTCCTGATTTGTCCTGTCCTCCAAAAGCAGTATGTGCCCAGAAACACTGTTCCTCATGACATTTCCCTTTACTCACTTTCATGACATCCACCACTTGGTGGACCCCACTTACATTTTAAAACAACCCCTCTGGGCCTGCAAGATGGCTCAGCAGGCATAGGTCCTTGATGTCAAACATCATGACCTGAGTTTGATCCCCAAAGTCCACATGGCAGCAGGACAGAGAACCAGCTCCCACAAGTTGTCCTTTGATTTCTATATATGCTGTGGCTGGCACAGAGTCCCCCTCTCCCAAATAAATAAATAAATAAATAAATAAATAAATAAATAAATAAACGCAAAACAAAACAAAAGCCTACTACCTTTTTGAGTGCCTCCCAGCATGCCTGTGTCACTGTCTCTGGGCTTCTTGTTGTTAACAGGTACTTTCTGCCTGTGAACTGCTTTCTTTTTTTGTTCATCTCTGTGGTGGTTTGAATATGCTTGACCCATGGAAAGTGGCACCATCAGGAGGTGTCACCTTGTTGGAGGAAGTGTGTCACTGGGTAGGTGGACCTTGAGGTCTCCTAGTACTCAAGCTCTGTCTAGTGTGGAAGGGAGCCTCCTCCTGGCTGCCTTCTGATAAAGATGTAGAACTCTCAGCTCTTCCCCTGGCATTAAGTCTGCCTGCATGCTGCCATGCTTCCCACTGTGATGATAATGGACTGAACCTCTGAAACTGCAAGTCAGCCCAATGTTGTTCTTTTTAGGGGCTGCCTTGGTCATGGTGTCTCTTTGCAACAACAAAGCCCTGACTAAGACAGTCTCCTTCATGCAGCAGGTCTTTGAGCTCAGGAGCTCGTTCTCCTGCTTCCCTGAACTGCATCTCCTGTTGCCCACAAATACCAGTGCTCCATGAAAGCCTCAGGGCTCCTGTTTGTGAGCAACAGAAGAAAACAACGAAGAGATTTAATGTAGAAGGGAACATCAGGGGAAGGCACTGCAGAGTGCCCAAACTCACCCTGAGAACGTCCAGGTTTATTCAGAGCATAGACAACAAGAAAAGGGTCTCCAATGACCTGCCACTGAACACAGGCCCCTCTGTTTTACACACTAGTATGACATAAGAGGTACTTTTTAGCAAGGAAAGGTCAATAGACTAAACAAAGTAGAAACGCACACTGTGCTGAGATGGCAAAGGCCACTCGTAAAGATGCACTCATTTGACATTTTGATAAATATTTATCATGCTGAGTTATTTGGCAATTAAGGAACTGTGAAGGCAATATACATTATCTTTCTACTGAACAAGTATTTTACAAATGTCTCTCAGGTACCCTGTCCCTTTATTTTGTTCCAGAGAAACAAGTCAGGCATGATCAAGGCTCGAGGGAAGTGAGGTGAGCTGTATCTATCTGACTGACTTGGGATTTGAACCAGGTTTTCCAACAGTGCTGTCTCAGGGGTCTCTGGTACCCATGTGTTTGCTGGACTGAGAATAAATTTATAAATCTGTCAGTTCAGAGGTCATTGTTGGTGATTTTTAAGAAACTATTTGGATAGGTGAATGTGTCAGCCAAAGGGAAAGGGCAAACTGGTGTTTGCGGATTAGAGGTTAGGCTGATAAAGCAAAGTAATTCTTCCAGATATTTGACAATAAAGGGAAAGATTGCCAGAACAGTACTTTGAGGGGAAAGACAAATAGACAGAAAGACGGACAGAAAGAAACAGAATTACAAGAAAGATAGACAGACAGAAAAAGAGATGGATAGAAAGAATGAAAGACAAGAAAGACAGACAGACATAAAGAAGAAAGAAAGAAAGATAGGCAGAAAGAAAAAGACAGAAAGTCAGACAACTTTGGTAAGGCTGGAATTTATAAGCATGATTATAAGTTGGACCTCAAATGAAACAAAACAAACTCATACAAATAAGATAATAAATATAAGTAAATATAAAAAAAATAGAGAAAGCAACCAACTCTAATGTGGAGAAATATTTTAAGGCACAGGAGTTGCACACACAAATACACAAACCACACAGTGGACACTGGAGGAAACTGTTCTGGTTCAAATGCTGGCTCTGCTTCTTGCTGCTAAGTGTTAGCCCTCTAGTCCCCAAGGCTCTGAAACAATTTAATTGTGATTTCTAGGATTAGGTTTGAGAAAGATGGTCTGTATTTGCAGGACCGTAGATGCAGAGGTCCCTTGTTCCCTGCCCCACACAAAACTGAAATTGTCTGTTGGATTACATGCAATCATGAGGCATACTAAAAACAATTCCTTGTTTATCTAAAATCTGAGCTGGCTGGGTATGTGTTTTTTCCTACATCTCTCTGCTCTACCAGCCCTCCCCAAAATACCTTGGCTCCAATGAGCCATGAGAAAACTTAACATTCCATACGGAAAGTGTGAAATGATGTGTGGTGCTGCCCCCTACCGGTAGGCTACGGCAACACCATTCACCTTAATAGAAGTGTGTCACCTGTATGGTGGTTTGTTGTTGTTTGGCTTTTTTGTTGTTTTGCTTAACAGAACCTCCGAGCATAGACACATAGCTAAGTGGAGTTTGGTTACCTTGACTCCTTTAATATAAACTTATGGTTACATTAGTTCTCACCAGCAGTAAATATATTCCTCCTTAACTATGTGGCAGTACAACTTATGTGTTTTAAGACATGATGGTCTTGCTATGCAGTCCTGGCTGCTATAGAACTCACTAGAGACCAAAATTGTCTCAAACTCTTGGTAATCCTCCAGGCTCATCCTTCCAAGTGATGGGACTACAGATCTGTGTCACCATACCTGGCTGCTCTTAAGGTTTTTTGTTAGGGTGAATAAACATATCTGTACATTTAGGACTTAAAATTTGCATTGGATTTCAATCTGCTATATCTATTTCGTTAAAATTGTACATTTTCATTTAACAACATCATGTTAAGGTCACCATCAGTACATGCATGTTCTTTTGTTATGACAGAAGTATGTTGGATGTCTTAAGTGCTGGTACATATAAATACTTGAGGAATTGATATGTAATCAGTGCTTAATAAAGTCATTGACCTTTGCTATTATATGTGAGCATGTGTGTATATGTATTATATATGTGCATGTATGTATATATGTACGTATATGTGTGTGCATGTATATATATGTATATGTGTGTGTGCTTGTGTGTATATGTATATATGTGCATACATGTGTATATGTGTATGTGTGTACTAGATATGTTAGCATGCTGTTTTTACAGAGGAACTTGGAGGGGTGATGCATAAATCATCCCAAATAGTGAGGAGGACCCAGCGTCTTTCTGAAGGCAAGCCCTTCAGAAGTAGAGAAAATGCTACAGCTTTCTCTCTCAAGGACTGCTCTCTCTGCATCCCTCCCATGTAGACAGGTGAATGGTCTATGTCTGCGAATTGATCCTCACGTCTTTCCTCACTTCCAGTGGCTGTCTGGAACTCCTTGATAACAAGATCTGTTTCTGATACTCTTCACTGGGTTGGTTTTGGGAGTTACCTCCATTGCACTGGCCAGAGGGACAAATGTTCTTCAACAGCCTATCTGTGAAATGCCAAACTAAGCTGCTCAGTGCACAACTCAGTACTGAGGCTGAGAAGCCCAGGACTGTCTGGGAGAGGAGACACACTGACTGCCTCAGGCTGTAGGATGCAGAGTCTGAACACCTGATAGCAGGAACTATGGTTATCCCAGGCTCTTCTCTCCCACCTTTGGGAGTTTCTTAAGGGAACTCAAGACTGTTACCTGTCTCTTCCCCCACCTTATCATGGGTATTTATATTTTTAACTGTTGTTAAGAGCGAATTCTCTGTTTTTATGTAGCTATACCTCTTGACTTAGAAATGGACCTGAAATCCAATATGGAAGAGAGAGACTGGTTCCTGAAGAAGCTGTGCAGAAGGGCTGCTGGCACTGGTCTAGACTTGAACAGTAATGGATTAACAACAGTGGGTGTGAAGGAAACCGGTCTGTATGTCATTAACTTTGTATAGAGAATGTAAGGCCTTTAGATGGAAAGGTATCGTCAAAACCTACACAGTAACCTATACTAGGACCTTGAGGTCCTAGACACTCTCAGAAAGTGGCAGTGCCACTACTTATTTTAAAAGCAAGCAAACACTGTTAATTAAAGTCCTGGTCTCTTAGTCTCTCAGTCAAGAGAGAATGTTCAAGCTTTCTCCAAACCTTGGTTCCCACCCAGGCTCTGTACACACCTGTACTGCCACACTCGGGAGGCGAACTACAGGATAACAAGTTCAAAGTCACCCCTGGCTACATAAGAAGTTTTAAGCCAGCCTGGGTGGGACCCATGAGATCACTACTATGAAACAAAACAAAACAAAACAAAACACGCCCTTAGATTCTAATAAGAATCTAGTTTGATGTGTTGGTTTTGAAAGTATTGACAGTTGCTGGATCGTTTCTTGTTTTACAGCAAAAGGTGCTGTTTCTTTGAACAAATAAAAGCTTTCTGTGGTCGCTTCCCTTAAAAAAATGTGAACTGGTTTCCTTGAAGCTTCACAGATTTGACTTGAGCTTAGGACATCAATCCACTTGTTTTCTTCCTGAGCAATTTTACCTACTGAGCAATTGCGGTTTTGCTCTTTAAGATAAAATCTGTTCCTGAGAATTATACTCACTAGTCTAATCCATGAGACAGAGTCCTGCAGAGAACTTAAAGCATACTGCCTTGTTCAGAATTGTGGAACACAATGAATAACTTCCAGCAATTATTGCTTACATTTTTATAAACAAAAATAACTGTGTTTGTTGCTGGTTCCAACAATTATTCCTTACATTTTTTTAAGCAAAAGTAACAATGTTTGTTGGAGTCTCCTCCCCCACATCACTCTTGTATTCTGCTTCTCAGAGACCTTAAAATGAATCCCTGATGAGACTGCACGTGTCTGCCAATAGAGAGACACCAAAAGTGCATTCTAATTAGACGTCCTCATCTTCGTCTTAATCTACACGGGCAGCGACGGAAAATAGCCCTGTGTGGAGTCAAATACCCAAGATCAGTGGGACATGGTCTCTTAACTACTGAACCATCTCTCCCACCCAAGACCCTGCCTCTTAATCCTATTACACTGGAGATTAGCTTTCAGTGCTTGCACAGAGGAGGAGAAAAAACATAGATATTTAGACCATAGCACTATTATAATTCATTAAAATCAATTTTAATTAAAATTTATGTCATTATGAGACAGGGCTATTTAAAAATGTTTTTAAGTTATAGTAATTGTTTTTAATTAACTTATTGTGTGTGTGTGTGTGTGTATGTGCATGCCATATCTCATGTGTATTGGTCAGAAGCCATTTAAGACAGTTGGTTCTCTCCGTACATGACACAGGAGCTCAGGATTAAACTCAGGTCTTCAGGTTGAGTGGGCAAGTGTCCTTACCCACAAGGCCATCTCCCCAGCCCTAGAATGCGTCTCTAAACAGGGAACTGTAAGCCCAAGCTTAAGGGGTCAGAGCCACTTGAGCTTCTGGGAACAAAGCCAAACAAAGCTCCAATAGCTTCAGGTCCTGTGTCTCAGAGTCCTCAGGAGACTCTGGTGGAAGCTGCCTCAGGTCCTGTGTCCCAGACAGTCTTCAGGAGACTCTGGTGGAAACTGGTTTTACCACTGACCTGTGTTTTGAGTGTGGTAGTCACATTTTCTTTATGAAGTTGCCACCAGAAAGGAGGCTTGACTTCCTTTATGAAGTCAAGCAAACATGGGAATGAAAGCAGGCAGCAGCTAACTCAGTGTTCAATGTCAGAAGAGCAAGAATTTTCTTTTCCTGTGTTGTTGCTGTTGTGTGATGTAGTGGTTTTATCCTTTACAAAGTCTGTCATGGTGAACAGGATACAATTTCACCTGAAGCACTTTGCTGAAGCACCGCTAGAAGAAAGAGGTTTTGCCGGAGCTGTGGTTTCAGACCTGGTGACTCCAGACTCTCTGACCTGAAACCAGAAGCCCTCTGTGCCACTTTCCAGGCTGATGTCCTTTTAAAACTCAGGACACAAACATGCCTTGCCTCCTCCACGTGGCCATCTCCACCCTCTAGTCTTGCTGATCCTGAAGAGAAAGATGCTTTTTGAGAGTTTTTCCTCAGAGGTTAACTTTACTTTTTAACAAGCTCCAATAGAGACTCAGAAAGGTTTATTCACAAAATCTCCACATCACTGCCTGCTTAAGTATAAGATAACACTGGGTGTGGTGGTGGCACACACCTCTAATCCTAAGACTCTGGAGGCAGAAGCAAGTGGACTTCTGTGATACATCGCAAATTACAGGCCAGCCAGGGCTGCACAGTGAGACCCTGTCTCAAAATGAATAGTAGTCAATAAATGTAAGGTAGTGATGGTTGCAGGGCCAGGGGGTTGGGGTCAAGATGAGGAAGAAAATGTACAGACATTCCCAGTCTCTGTTGACCTGGCCTAGAGCGTTTTCCAGGTTCCATTCTGAGAGTTCACTAGAGCAAAGGGGGTTGCATGTCAGCGGCTTTGCAACACAGAGAGAACTGTATGACCGGAAAAGTTACAGCTGGAGTAGAGGCAGCAGAGCAGAGTTGCCAATTCTGCCACAGGATTCAATAATGACATAGAAAGTGCTAGAGAATCCTATGACGACATCTCTTTGTTTACAGAGTGCATTTTGTTGTTGTTGTTGCAGAAATAGAAAATATCCTAAGAAATAGGAAATGCAAATGGGACAATTTCCTTACTTCCAAGCAAGAAACCCCTGCTTTGCTAAAAGTCAATATGCCTACGCATTGTGTTTTCATATAATCCCAAACTACACCCTGTGCACATAGGCACTGTGAGCTCTGTTTATTACAAATCACACACATAGATCTGCATCTCCTTCTGCCCACTGTAGCTTCGTTTCTGCCTCTCCTCTCAGACTTGGAAGAACTAGATATTTCCTGGAACGATTTTGTCAGCGGGACCCTCCACTCTTTCACCCAGCAAATGCATCCTATCAGCAAGTTAAAAGTCCTGAGGCTGAGTAGCTGCAGACTTACCACTGAGGACGTTCAAACACTGGGTATGATGACTCCTCCCCTCAAACAGGACTGCTTTGTGTATGCCAGCTTGAAAAATAAGTAAAGACAGGGGCTGGGGAGATGGCTTAGCTCATAAGAAGCTTGTAAACATGAGGACCTAATTTTGAATTTCAGAATGCATGTAAACTGAATAAGGATGGCAGCATAGGCCGAGAATCCCAGGGCCATGGAGCCAGAGACAGGCAGATCCCTGTGGCCTGCTAGTGAGGCAGCACTCTCAGCAAGCTCTGGGCCCGGGAAAACCCTTTTTCAAAACAAACAAACAAACAAACAAACAAACAAACAAACCTAAGGAGGATAGAGGCATGAAATACCACACCAGAGGTTGTTCTATAGCTTCCTGCGTGTGTGCACAACTGTGCAAACACACATACTTGTATATACACACACAGATAAAAAACTTAGAAACAAAAACAGAAAACATGTCTTCCCTTGAAGCACCTTTCCAAGCTGATTCCTCAGGGGCAAACTGTCATTGTTGTCCCTCCAAGTGTGGATGACCAAGTACATTCTGGAAATGGTGTTCCTGTGAGGCATTGAGTGACTGCTGAAAAGCGCTGTGCCTTGGACTCCAGCTTGTGCTGAGCTCTGTGGATAAAAATGAGGACAGGGACAGAGCTGACCAGACCCTGCCTGTATGGCTCTTCAGTGTGGCTGTTGTAAAGCCTGCTCAAGTTAGGTCTTATGACCTCATCTAAAAATCAGAAGAACTGGAGTAGACAGCAGTTAATCTGTTTTTAAACTCCAAAATAATATCCCTTCATTTTTCTAACCCACCTCTAAAAATTAATGAAAATGAAGGGCTTTAAAAAAAAAAACTAAAAATTGTTTTAACTGCAACTAAAGCCTCAATTAAATTAAATTACACATTTAAAAAAGAAAAAAGAAAAAAATCTGAGGACACTCACACTATTTTCCCAAACGCTTACCAAAGTATTGTTAGGGACAGGAACTGGGTGTCTTTCTTCTCAGGTAACTCATATCTGCCCCGGCTTCCATATGCCCGGTGACGTCGTCTCTGCCTTTCCGAGGCAGCACCCACTGAGTCACGGGAACTTTTTGTACTAGGGGGCGCTCTTGAAATGATGCCTGAACTGGAAGAACTGAGTTTGTCCTGGAACAGCAAGGTGGGAGGAGAGTTGCCTCAGGTTCTCCGCACATTCCAACAAGGGAGCAAGATTCGAACACTTGAACTTGTGGACTGTGCCCTCACGTCACAGGACGGAGTGTTTGTGGGTAAGTGGAATTTGGAAGAATTCGTCCCAGAAAAACATCGGAAAGATGCCTGTGGAGAGTTTCCCGTAAGTGTGTGTTTTTCCTCTCAGCCTGAAGCTCCAGGAAATAATGACCCTGAGACCCAAATATATTTATAAGTACCTAGGCCATATAGCTAGGCATGTTCCCTAGCTGGTTTATAATTAACATCCCATTATTTTATTCATGGCTGTTTACCTGGTCCTTAGTTATATATGACGTCTTCTATGTCTGGGACCCTAATCCTCTGTGCTTGGCTCTATCCCAGAATCCTTTCTGCCTACCGAATGTCCCACCTTCTATTCTACTCTTTCCTACAGGCCATAGATTTTTTTTTAATTGACAAGTAATGCAACCATATAGAACACAAGAGAGTCTCTCTACAGATGCCTGTGATTGGCAGCTGGGAATCGCTCCTGGATGCTCTCTGTCCCCAGGGCACAGAGAGCTGCCATAGACCTCCTGCTTGCCCCTGTCTTCTGCATGGATGCTCTTCCTGTTTGGATTTATTCCCTTCCAGGTCACTTGCTACCTAAGCTGCGGAACCTTGAAGTATTTGACCTTTCCAACAACATAAATATTGCCAGCAGTCTAGACATCATAGCACAAGGATTGGAAAGTACGTCAGGCCTGAAGGTGTTGAGGTTGCATTCCTGTGGGTTGTCCCAAAAGAGCATCAGGATATTGGGTGAGTTAACAATAGTTAAGTTTAAGATCATACATGTAAAGTATAAAATGTATCATATATCAGGTTGATAAGATGGCTCACTGGGTATCTCACAGTAGGTATCACTCATACACACCCACTTACACACCAATGCACAGTAGAAATAAGTGAAATGTTTTCAAATATATCATATAGCATAAATATATAGCATATATGTTATTTAAAACCTATTAGAACATATACATTTGAATGTTCTTTGTTTTATTTATTTATTTATTTGCTTCAGAGCTGGGAATTGAACTCAGGGTTTTAGTGCATGCTAGGCTTATTCATTTTTTTTTTTTAAAAAAACCTTTTGCAGTAGCCATATACTTTCATTATTATAAAAAGAAACAAAAACACAGAAGAAAAGTAAAGAAGCCTCTTAAGTCAGTCTAGGCAGTGTAGACCTGAAATCCTAAAGGCCGAGGAAGGAAGGCCACAAAGTCAAAGCCAAAACAGACAACTTAATGGAAATAAATAAATAAATAAATAAATAATAAATTAATAAACAAATAAAGCAATTTAAGAAAGAAGTAACAAGAGAGAAGAGGACAGGATATCTCAGCGGGAGGACTCTCCCTCTCAGCGGGAGGACTCTCCCTCTCAGCGGGAGGACTCTCCCTTGCTTAGCCTGTGTAAGGCTCTAGGATCAATTCCACACAACAGACAAGCGTCTAAATGGACTAGCTCTACAAAGGCTGGGAAACCTAGGGTATGGACTGGACACTGGATAAGTTTACTGTTGCTGTTGAAGATGTCAGCATTATTTGTGCCTAGTGCTAGGAAGATGCTGACATTGCTTAAAAACAGTGGCAGCTCCAGAGACATCTAGGGTAAAGAGTCTGTCTCCATGTACAGTAGCTCCTTACATAGAATGACAGTTTTCCCTGTGATCTCAGAATCTATAGCATCCTTCTTACTGGCAGCCTGAGTAAATTGAAGGTCATTGCTCAGTAGTAGTTGGTGGCCTAGTCAGGCCTCCTCATAGACAAGAGCTAGGAGCAGCCAACTGGTATCTTAGAGAGAGAGAGAGAGAGAGCTTGTGAGGTCATTGTTGGGTCTGTTGAGGCCTAGTAGGTAGGGACTCTCCGTTTATCCCTGCCTTGGCTTTGTCAGCACAGCATGCACACTTGCCTCCTCTTCTACCCTGCTCCCCTCCCTTCCGGAGCACTCTTTCCCACTGACTCACAATATGAATCTCAGGACCTGGGTTGGGACCTCCTCTGTAGGTGATGCCTTTGCATTGTTGGGTGTGCTGAGGATACTGGATCTCTCCTGCAACAAGGAACTGGGTGGAGGCTTTGAGGATGTGCCTGCTCAGCTGGCTTTACTGAAGCATCTGGAAGTCCTAGACCTTCACCAGTGCTCACTGACAGCAGGAGACGTGACGTCATTGAGTAAGTGACCCTGTGGAGCAGAATCCGTGGATATGCCTGGGAAATTAGAGACTGGCTGTGGATGTTTAGATTCACTGATCAGGTCATTGGAGTTTTGTGTGTACACTGGGTACCCAGCAAATATTAAGGAGTCCAGGATTTAGTACTTGAAGGGAAATATTTAAACTTCTCTTGCTTTTTAGAAACAAGTATGTTTGTGTGGCAACCTCGGTTACATACAGATATGTAGAGAGAAATCCAAAACGAGGCTTTTAAATGACAAAGCAAAGCCAAGACACTCAGGGACAGGAGCAGTTACTGAAAAGCAGACAGAAATGGTACAAAATGGACACTATGTCGCTCTATCTCTGCCTTTGCTCCCCACTCCCCTCATCCCATGGAAGTCCACGCTGGCCTCGCTGGCCTCAGACATGCCAGGCATGCTGTAGTCTTTGGGCCTTTGCTTTCTCTCTGTTTAGATAGAGAGCCACTTCCAAGGTAGGAGAAAGTCTGGTCCTGATCACCCCCACTCCAGTGTCAGTACCTGCACATTTCCTAAGTAAGGACATGCTCAAAATGCATACGAATGGCAAAATAAGAATAGCATAGATTTTAAAAACAACCTGCAGAAGGAAAATCGTAATATAAAACTTCAGGTCTAAATATCACTTTTTGGATCTACTGGGATGTTTCTTAGGCTCTTGTCCCTTAGTCTGGAAAAAATGCAAAGAATTCAAGGAGTTCTTGAAACTTTAAAATGGAAAAGACCCCCTTTTATTCTCCACAGAGCACTCTGCAATATCCCTAACCCTTTACTCACAGGTGGAGGGGACATTACTGAGTTACCTGGCTACCAGATCTTCGTGGCGCACCCACAACACTGAATGTCGCATATGATGTTGTTACTCTCATGGGGCTATAACGTGCTCGAGGAGCTTCACTGTTGACTATTCGCATAGGACAGGGATAAGCGCTTCTTGTCTTGTCTAGGACATGAGAGAGTGCATGTATGTATGTATATGTGTGTGTGTACATATGTATGCATGTATGTATGGACTGTAGCAAGTGGCATTGTTCTTCTGCTGCTTGATTTAACAAGGCGGAAGTGATCTGCTGCCGTGATGTGCATGGCTTTGGACCTGACTGAGTGATGGGGAATAAAGAAATGACAGACACAGGCACAGAAAGGCTGAGATCAGGTAGACCATGTGCTTTGATAAGGACACATTAGCAGCCTGGAAACTCAGTGCATTTATTATATACCACTGAATGAGGAGGGAGTTGTATTATACATGGCTGAATGAGGAAGTGTTTTATTATATACAGCTGAATGAAAAGGGAGAGCAAATTGAAATGGTATAGGGTCCTTAAACTCTCAAGTCATGCCTCTATTGTGATGCTTTTTATAAGGCCATACCTCCTAAGCCTCCCAAGACCACACCACCAACTAGGAACCAAGTGTTCAAACTGAGACATTGAGGGATAGTCTCGCTCAGACCATTTCAGATAGGATAGAGACTGAGAGGTTACTTTGGCTTGGGCCACTCTGGAGAGCTCCAAGAGATAAGCTAGCTCCATGGGGCTTCTGGGATAATGTTTCCTATGATGGTAAGTGCTAGGGAGAGGCCTATAAGCAGGAAAGTAGAAGAAGATAGTAGATTAGGGCTACCTGTGAGTGCCAGTGCTTGCTTACCAGGCAAGGTTAGCTGATATGGCTGGTGAGAAAGGAATATTTGACTAGGCACAGGTTGGAAGGCTCACAGTAAGACTGACTGTGACACGTCTATTCTAAGCAATTAGACTTCTGACACCTTTATGAGAAGCCGAATATAATGGCAATTGCCAGGATTCAAGCAGTAGTAGCCATGGTCCAGGCATGTTTGCAGACTATCCAAGATTAATGTCTAAGACCAGTTGTCCTGTTAAATTTCTGTATGCTTTGTTGACTTCTAGAACATAGAGAATCACAAGGCAGAATGACAAATGAATGCTCCATTTGTCAGCAACTGAAAGGCATGCAGTACCTCAGGAGCCACAGACTCTAACCTGACAACTCTATAATGCATGCCTTTCATGGCAACTAGACTAGGCCGACTCCATCACCAATGGCTTGTCTCACTTGCCTTACTGGCAAGGCATTCTGAGAAAAGAATGATAATGCCAGATGTTAATATGTGCCAGCCATGAAGGAAACTACAAGGAACAAGCCATTTTATGTCTCCAGTGATCTTGTGATTAAGAAACCTAAGATTCAATTCTTGATCTTAGAGCATAAGCCATTGGTGTTCTGTTCAGGAACTTTTCCCCTGTGCCAATGTGATCCAGGCTCTCCCAGACTTTCTCTTCTTTTAGTTTCAGTGTATCTGGTTTTATGTGGAGGTCCTTGATCCACTTGTATTTGAGCTTTGTACAAGGGGATAAGAATGGATTGATTTTCATTCTTCTACATGCTGATCTCCAGTTGAACCAGCACCATTTGTTGAAAATGCTGTACTTTTTCCACTGGATGGTTTTAGCTCCTTTGTCAAAGATCAAGTGACCATAGTTGTGTGGGTTAATTTCTGGATCTTCAATTCTATTCCAATTGATCTTCCTACCTGTCTCTGTACCATGAAGTTTTTGTCACTATTGCTTTGTAGTACAGCTTGAGGTCAGGGATGGTGAGTCCACCTGAAGATCTTTTATTGTTGAGAATAGTTTTCGCTATCCTGGGTTTTTTGTTATTCCAAATGAATTTGCGAATTGCTCTTTCTATCTCTATGAAGAATTGAGTTGGAATTTGGATGGGGATTGCATTGAACCTGTAGATTGCTTTTGGCAAGATGGCCATTTTTACTATATTAATACTGCCAATCCATGAGCATGGGAGATCTTTCTGTCTTCTGAGATCTTTGATTTCTTTCTTCAGAGACTTGAAGTTCTTTTTTTTTATAGTATAGAATAGATTTTATTCAGGGCATGGGGAGGGGAGTTAAGAGGGTAGTAGAGGCAGAGTGAGGCAGAGAGAGAAGAGAAAGACTTGAAGTTCTTGTCATACAGATCTTTCACTTGCTTGGTTAGATTCAAACCAAGGTATTTTATATTATTTATGACTATTGTGAAGGGTGTCATTTTCCTAATTTCTTTCTCAGCCTGTTTGTCTTTTGACTACCTGAGGATGCAGCCCATGTGCAGTCACCATACGCAGGCACGGTTGTGGATGCCAGGAACTGCATGTTGACTGGAGCCTGATATCCCTGTCTCTTGAGAGGCTCTACCAGAGGCAGATGCTCACAGCTAACCATTGAACTGATCATGGGGTCCCTAATGGAGGAGGTAGAGAGAAGACTGAAGGGGCTGAAGAGGCTGAAGGGGCTGAAGGGGCTTGTGGTCCCATTGGAAGAGTAACAATACCAACCAGCCAGAGCTCCCAGGGCCTAAACCACCAGGCTGGGAACATGCTTGGAGGGACCCATGGCTCCAGCTGTATATGTAGGGAAGGATGGCCTTGTTAGGCATTGGTAGGAGAGGAGGTCCTTGGTCCCATGAAGGCTGGATGCCCCAGTGTGGGGGAATTCGAGGGTGGGGAAGGGGGAGTGGGTGGATGGGTGGAGGCACATCCTCATAGAAGTAGCAGGAGGGGAGACAGATAAGGGGTGTCTATGGAGAAAGGGGATAACATCTGAAATGTAAATAAATAAAATATCCAATTAAAAAAAATAAATGCAACAAAAAAGAAAAGAAAAAGAAAAGAAAACTAAGGTTCAGAGTAGCCAGCTACTGCAAAAACCATACAGAGTTTGTTATTGTCATGGCTTTTGTGGTCCTGAGGTTTAAACCTAGGGCCTATTTGTAGCTTGCAAATACTCTACCACCAGGCTTTGTAGTGAGCATTTTGATTTCTTTAAAAACATAGAAATGTCATAGGAATGTATTTTTGTTTTAACCCCAGGTATTGAGTATGGGACTGCTTTAGACTATCCACAGCAATAGACTATGATTTGCCTTGTGCTCTGGCAGGACTATGGTTTTACCAGCTGCAGATAGTTTTTTCAAGTATATAATACTTGGAATTCTGGAGACTCTTTTTTTTTTAAAGATGTATTTATTTATTATATATGAATACACTGTAGCTGTCTTCAGACACACCAGAAGAGGGCATCAGATCTCATTACAGATGGTTGTGGGCCACCATGTGGTTGCTGGGATTTGAACTCAGGACCTCTGGAAGTGCAGTTAGTGCTCTTAACCACTGAGCCATCTCTCCAGCCCTGGAGACTCTTGGAAGTGTATAAAAATGCTAGAGTCCCAAGAGGGGTTGCGGCTGCTGCTTCTCCTACTGCTGTTGCTGGTTGGAGATATTCTGATGACAAAGATCAAAATTATTCCAAGAAACTCGAAACCCTTAGTCATCAGGAAGAAGTCTAACAATATTGAGGCCCCCATTCTCCTCTAGCCTTCTTTCTATCCTACCTAGTATTGAAGTTGAAGGGATAATGATAGGGTAAGGTGGTAGAAATAAGAACCCTAAGGTAGCCAAAGAGTTGGGCTCTGTACCTAGTCCTCTTGTTTACTTTTCATTCTGATACAAGGTCTCACCATGCTGATCAGGTAGGCCTCGAATGATCAACCCTCTTCCCTCAGTGTCCCAAGTAACTGGGATTACAGGCTTGGAACGCCAGGCCCAGCTAATCACACAGTTCCTTCTAGTCCACGGAAAGGCTTGGGAATAGAGAAGTCTGGGGAAGACCCTAGAGAAGAGCTGATTTGGTAGTGGTATGGTCTACATGCAAGTTTCCAGGGAGGGTAATGTCATACAATGAGTTTGGTAGATACCAGGTCAGGAAGCCTGTGGGAGCCAGACGCTTCCACGACTGTGAAATGGTGTCTCATACGTGTCACGGTTGCTATTTTAACAGCTCAGATTATTCCTTTACTCTCCAACCTGGAAGACCTGGATTTGTCATCCAACAGAGACATGGGTGGCTCCTCAGAAAACCTACTCAGCAGGCTCCGGTTTTTACCAGCACTGAAGTCCTTGCTGATTAACAGTTGTGCTTTAGAAAGTGAGACTTTCACCGCTCTTGGTAAGAGAACTTCCCAGCTCCCAGCAGACACTGTAACTTAATAGAGAACCCCCACCACCACCAATCACTCCAAGATTAAGGTGCAGAAAAGTTACTAAAGACTAATTGAGATTTTGTTGGTTTGTTTTTCAAGGAAATATATCCTCTTAAAAGTGACCTTGAAGCCATGAATGACACTGGCATTTATTTTACTTTTAGTATTTATTTGAGACAGGATCTCATATGTAGCCCAGGCTGGCCTTGAACTTGCTATTTAACTGACAGTGACTTTGACTTGCCCTCCTGCCTCTGCTGTACCCTTACCTAGCTGCCTCCTAAGCTTTGAATAGCATTTTCCTTTATATGAAGCCAACTCTAGAAGTCTATGTCTGGTAACTTGTAATTTTTCTGAGAGGGAACATGAACTGAGGTTGCCGGGAGTCTGGTGGGAAAATGTGTAATTCACGTCTGCACTTTGCAGTCAGTCCCACCAGGACTTAATGCTCTCTTAGGAATCCTAAGGGTCGTGCATCTATCCTAGCCTATATCAGGTCTACCAGATCTAGATGTTCTACCCGTCATGGCTGGCAAGTGGAGGGCAGTGCTTAGTGGTGACGGGACATTGTAGAATTTCCCCAAATGAACGATGCAGGTAAACCAGCACTTTGTGCATTCAGTACTGGAGTCCACAGCACCATTCCAGTTTCATTGATTCAGAGGAAGACTCAAGTCTCAGCATACAGCTGTACTCATAGCAAAGATTTATTATAGGGAAATATGATCAGGAATAAGGAAAACTTCAGAAATAAGGGAAAATAAGATCAGGAAAGGAAAACATTTTTGAGGCAAAGCCCCAAGGAAACCAAGAGCAATCTCCCAAAAGTTCTCTCTCAATGGAGTTGCACAGGTACATTTAACTACTCCAGCAATGAGCTGTAACTCGTGTGTGTGAAATATTTTCCTAGTGAAGCTCACCTAAACTTGCAAGCCCAGGATTTCATTGATATTCAGTCACACAAATATCCCCTCCCTAGAACATTTGAGAATTCCAGACTAACAGAAGGAAAACTAGTAGATATCATAATTTATATTATTAATACAAACAGATTAGGCACAGTAAGCTGTTCTTGTTAGTTAGGGATCTGTGAAAGTGCTTCCTAACCCCAGGCCCTCTGGGTAGCATCCAGGAGCCAAGCCAGTCTTTCTGGTCAGCCATGGGCCTTTCTAGGGTAATAGTTTCAGTCTTGCTGTGTTAACTCTGTTATAATTTCAATAGGCCACTTCTCCCCACGTTTCACTGGAGTGGTATCCCAAGGTGGCTGGCTTCTGAGACTCTTACTTTATCGATGCATCAGCCATGATAGAGCAGGAGCTGAGTGGGCACTTTATTGGTAGTGGTGGGATCTGTAGGTGGTGTGGTCCTGCAGAGGAAGGTATCCTGGATCAAGCTTCTGACAGCCGTATCCTTTACTAGTTTTTGCTCCTTTGTTTTCCTTTGTTTTGTCATTGACACAAGGTCACACTCTGTAACTCAAACTATTCACTCTTCAGCTGATCCTCCCATGTGATGGCATCGTAGGCTAGCACCACCATGTCCAGCCTTCAGAGGCATTTTGTTACAGCAACAGATATTTGGCTGACTAATCTTGGCTCTTGATGAAATATTACCAGTCTCAAAAATTGTGGAATTATTAATGTCTTTAAGGTATAATTCTGATTCAAGATTTGAAACAGAAATACAAAACAAAACAAAAACCAACATAAGTTATATTCTTTGGCATCAACCCCTGAAGAAGTTACAAGTTGTTCTGCAGATAAAAGTTTAAAATGGCAAAACCGAAAAGAAACCTAATATACTCCTTTTGTAATTGTACATGTGACCAGACTGTTGAATTTTCATGTGAGTTAGTTCCTTTCCTCAGAGTCCTGTCAAAATGCCTAACAAAGGTAGTTTAAGGAAAGAACTGTTTATTTTGTGCACAGTGTGAGATATAGTGCCAAAGGTTGTGGCAACACTAACAGAGAGATGGATGCAGGTGCTCCGTTTGCTCCAGGACCCCATCCAATAGCATAAGGCTGCCCACCACAGGGAGCATCTTCCTTCTTCAGTTAACGCTCTCTGGAAACCCTCTGATAAGCACAGCAGAGTGGGCTTCCATGGTGACTGTTGGATAATGGTGAAAACAGCCCAGCTTTTGACCCTCGTATATTTAGTATGCAGTAGAACTGCCTTTAAAATTGTACCATGAGCCAGACAGGGCTACAGTGAATGAAACAAATGTACCCTATTAGTAGGAATAAGCAGTTACTGCAGATTCTAAGGAGTCTACGTCTAGAGAGCTCTTGCCCCCTCCCTGCCCACACACGCTTGGTCTTTGCTGGGTACTACTTCATGCTCTGTCCCAGCATCCCATCTAAAACGTTCTAGGCTATAAACCTTTCAGACTTGATATTCAGCATGGAGCCTATAGTGTCTAACAATGTGCCCGAGAGAGTCTGTGAATGCCTTGAAGTTCATTACAGTTACTCAGTGTGGGGCTGTTTAGTTCATCTCCTGACTATAGCACAGCTGCCATCAGATCTCCTGAATCACATCTGGCTCTGGTTCTTCTGACCCATGTGACCATAGGTCTCCAAGATGTCAGCATTTTTACTTCCTCATCTGTAAAATAGAAAAAGTTCGGCAACCCAATGTGTACCACAAGGTTATAGACCTAAGTGGCTTTACTACACAGATGGTTCTGAGAAGCTGCCTGGCTCATAACAGCTCAACAAATGTTAGTTGTTAATATTGCAAAGTCTATAAATTTCATTCCAAACAAATGGGGTTTTGTCAGTTTGCAAATGGGCAGTGTACTTCCTGTAGTGTCTCAGGTGGAACCTATGTTGCTGAATGGGGCCAGCACACCAGCATCCCTCTCCAGTGTGGACAGTGAATGGGGCCAGTGCACCAGCATCCCTCTGCAGTGAGGACAGTGAATGGGGCCAGTGCACCAGCATCCCTCT